CTGGAAGTCTGGTTTTGAGACTTGTTTATATGTCTTCTCATTTCAGGGGTTGGGGAGGGATATGTGCTGCTAGTGTCCTCATGGCTTACCTCCTCGGTGCTGGGGGTGGTGGAATGCTGGCCCGGAATGTTCACCTCCTCTGTGCTGGGAGCAGCTCTGCTCCTTGGTGGTGGGAGCGGTGGTATGGTGGCCCTGAAGTTTCCTTCCACCTCCCCATATTGTTGCCTCCCTTATTATCCTTATAAATAGTGACTCCTTCGATCCTGCTACTCCATCCAAGCCTTGCAGTCATCCTTGAGTTCCTTCCTTTTCTCAAACCCACACTTTATCAGCAAATGTTTCTGGCTCTTTCACTAAAGTATGTTCAGCTCATGATTTCTCATCTCATCATTTATTGTGACCATTCTACTCCAGGCCAGCATCATCTCTTGCATGGGTGAATATGGTCACCCATTCAGTGGAACCCTTGTTCCTTGTCCACCCCTCTGTAGTGTAACTTTCTCACTGCAAATAGAGGAGTCCTTCAGAAACATGCTCAAATCATGATTGTCCTGAATCCAGAGCTTCTTCTCTCACTGGCAATAAAATTCAGAGTCCTTGTTCTGGCCTACAAGGTTCTCCATGTCCTGACTGCTCCCTGACACCTCTCTGACCCCAGCTCCTACCACTGTCCCTTTTATTTCTACAGTCTGGCTGCACTTTCTTGCTTGCTCTTCCTTAAACATACCAAGCACACTTCTGCCCCAGAATCTTTGGATTTCCACTTCCTGTGCTTGAAATAGTCTTTGGTCAAATGTCCAGATGGCTTGCTTTCTTACCTTTTATTGTTCCCTGCTTAAATGTCACCAAACTGAGATGATTCCAGCACCCCTTCTGATTTCTACTACTCTCTACTCTTTTTCCAACTTTATTTTTTTAACCAAACTTAAAAACATATTTACTTACTATTTTTTGGACTCCTCTATTTTCAGAATGTAAGTTCCAAGAATACCCAAACTGTATGTTTTTCTACCACTCTGTTCCCCAAAACTAGTACATACTAAATACTCAATAAGTATTTGTTGAAGAAATAATTAAGAAAAGCAACAAATAACAAATGTCCAACCTTTATTGAATCCTTCTTACTTGCCTTGCTGTGTGCTTTGTGCCACCATATTTTATGAGACACCATTCCTCTCTATCAAAGGAGAAAATGTAACTCATCATGGGTTTCTCAGCTGGCAAGTGGTGGAACCCTGAATCAGTTCCAAACCAGTCTGCCTCCAAGACCACACTCATAGCCATCATCCATTAATGACTTTGTCCTGCCATGATTTTGGCAAACTCCCTAGTGAGCAATCTATTAATGCACTCTTATATTAGACACTACAAGTAAGGAAGGATTAATAATTAAATGTTTCCATAAAGAAGAACTAGACAGACCTAGAAGATTGTGAGCTTTAAATGGAATGGAAAATATATTTGGAAATTCTGTTGATTTTTAGACTTCCATATTGGATCTGAAACCACCCAGATAAACATTTCTATACTTAAACAGTGATCTGACACCAGACCTACTGTGCCAAAATGATTCGGTGCCCTTGACTGGTCATAAAGACAAGTAAGCAAACCTCTGATCAAGTGTGTTTCTGACCAGACACTGACCCTAATGAATTAGGCTGGCTGAAAGGGCATGCATGTTGAATGCATCTTCTAAAATTGCTTCTGATCTAAGCTGTCTGGTGATGTAACTGCAAAGTTCAGGGCGCACTGCATCGCTGTGAGCATATTCTGTTTCCCTGGAACAAGGGCATCATTGGCTCTGTCTTCTCCAAACAGCAACATTTCTTATTCATAGGGTTCTTTATCCACAGGACCATAGATTATTGATGGATCTTACTGTCAGCCAGGGCCTCCTGTCATTCTAGACAAATACAACACGCTCTTCGGCTCACTTCGGCAGGCACAGATGTCCCCTTAGAGGGCCCGGATGTGTACACACCCAGGGTCATGTGAGGGTGGCTGCCACTCAAGCTACTTCTCAGAGGCAAAGTGCCTCTTCTTGGGCTGAAACAATAGTGGAGGTATCAGGTAAGCTTGAAAAGGGAGGGGAGGGACACTGGCAAATATTGTTATTGCCCTAGACATAATCATTGCTTGATGTGTCTGAGGTTGGCCAGGAAGCTTTCTCTGGACCCCAAATCTTGGTTGTATCTTGTTTTCCCCAAAATGCTTTCTCTTCAAACTCTTTGCCAGGTCTTTCTCATCTTAGTTTAAACATGTTATTACATGTAAAAAATGCACCGAAAGCACTAGAAAATCTACTGTAAGACAGAGTAGGTTACCAAAGGTTATTATCTTTCCTATCTTCTTTTCATGTTTAACTTTAAGATCTGCTCTTTTAGGACTGAAGTAGGTGGGACTTGAACTAAAATCAGTGCTGTTATATTACTGGAAGAAAGGGACTCTTGGTGTCACCCAGCCCAGACTCTATAGATTGGGAAACTGAAGTTAAACAAATAAGGCAGTTCCCCAGGCACATAATGGTGATTACTGGTGGGGCATGGATGGAACTGGAGCCTCTAGCTTTCCAGCCCAGGGCACCCACATCCTAATACCACAAGGTATAGAAAAAAAAGTCTCTAAAAAGTTTTGGGTAAACCATTACATCTAATAAGTATTTAATATATCCTACTGACATTTGAATTGTGATTTTATTATTGAAACTAATAAACTTCCCTAGACATCCAGGAACTCTGCCACTCATAACCCAAAATACCAATTCCTACCCTTTAAAGATGAGAAAATACAGCCACTGAAAGAGGAAGAGAACTTATTTTATTAACTGACTTTTCTTAACTTATTTTGCTCACTGACTTCAGTTAACTTATTTTGTTAACTGGGATCTCCTCTGTATCTGAATGAAATATCTATGAACATACTCTAGGTCTATCTAACTCAGCCTAACTGAACTCAGGGAAATGATTAAAATTTTACAAATACCATTGCAAGTAATTCTTCTGGATTATAAGCTATCAGGTTCATAAAAGAATGAAAAGTGTAATTTTAGGAATTCAGCTCCCTCTATTTGAATTACTCCTATTTTATTTTATTAGAGATTTTTGTAAAGTCAGTTATTCAAAGCTTGGTAAAATTTAATAATATCAGGGGCATGTTGGCTGCCACAGACTGGCGATTACATACAAGCAAAATGGAATTATCCCATGTCTTTATTATATGTACATGTAGTACATACCCCATAAAGATTAGACTGTAGAAGTGATATTAATGTATTAGAATGGGAAAATGGAGCACCATTATGACAAAAAGATAAAGAATGACTCCAGACGTGAAAACCAATTACATTGTTAGTTTATAAGTTTAATTTGTAGACTCATCTCATTTCATCATTTGGTATGGAGAACCGAGCTGAGGTAGAGTTCACATTTCTGGAATCACAGTGCTGAAGTTTGGATCTGGAATGGCTTCCCAAATGCTCATGTGTTAAAGGCTTGGTCCGCAGCTTGACAGAATTAGGAGGAATCTTTAGGAGGTGGGCCCTAGTAGGAGGTTTTAAGTCATTAGGGGCATACTCCCAAAGGGAATAGGGAGATTCTGCTCCTTTCCTCTTTCACTTCTCAACCTGCGTAAGGTGAACAGATTTCCTCCATCGTATGGATATAGTGAGCCACCACACGCCCAAAACGACAGAGCCAGCAGTGGACTGAAACCTCTCAAAGTGACCCAAAACAAACCTTTCCTCTTTATAAGTTGATTTATTTCAGGTATGTGTTCCAGCACTGGAAAGCTGACATATGCAAGATCTCAAATATGACCCCAATCCATCTTTTACAGGTATAGAACCTCTATCCTTTAATTCAATTATTCTATCAAGATCCAGAATGTTATCTCATTAGCAATAGTTAAAAAATAATTGTCCTTTGTGACTTGGAGGGGTGTGTGTGTGTGTGTGTGTGTGTGTGTGTGTGTGTCTAACTGTTCTTTCTGTCAGAACACAATCAATGCAGATTTCTACAGAAAACATTTAGATGTGGTGATTGACTGCTTGAGAAGATAGTCAAAAGAAATAAATCCTGCTTGGATAGACCTCATTCCAAGACCCTGGACTTAATTAAATATGTAAAATGTTTCCATGTACTTCAGTACATGGTGGGTGTGTATTTCTGTACAACCAAGAAGTTTATCTTAATAGCATGCTAGCAAAATAAAGGTATTCTAACAAATTTGTTCAAATTTTCTGGGCTAACCTAGAAGAGAGTAACATCAGTCAACACCAAAGGGAACAAGGGTATTACCCAAGATACTTCTGCTCTTTGGGCACTTTCTTGATTGGGAATTAAGGAGTGATCATTGCCCAGGCCAATCTCCTGGCTGGCCCAACAGTGTGCCATTCTGAGCGTTGTCCCTCTCTGCTTGCATATAACTATTGGGTAGCTATAAAATTCCTCAAATACTAACAACGATTTCCCTTAATCACTGGGAACTCCTCACATTAAGAAAATCGGGTAACCCCACAGAACCACCCAGATGCTTTTCTAAGAATTACCCTGAGGAAGGACAATCTCATTGGCTGAAAAGGTTAGAATCAACAAGCGGTATTGACAGTGGGTTTTCTCGCTGGCAAATAGTTCCCAACATGAAACAAATTTCCTCTCCAGCTCCTCACATTTACATTCTGTACACAGTGGGAATGCTGGTTAGCATTTTATCCAACTGCGAGCATGTTACATAAACTCAGTGAGGCTGCAGCCACGGAGAATCTGCATTTCTAAGGGCAGAAATTTCTTATTTGGGATAACTAAGTGCCCTGTGATTCTCTCTTGCATTTCTTTGTATAAGCCTCTGGGGTGTCTCATCCTTTCAGAAATGCACAGGTCGATTCATGGAGCACAGGTTGTCTATAAGCTGAGATGAAATTTTTTTCATGATAGATTTTAGCCTTAATTTTGAAAATGCATTGTTATCACGGTTATGTTCCTTCCCCAAATCATCATACTGAAATGGCTCATTCTGAGTGAACTGAGAGACAACCACTGGGCCAAAAGTAGCAGCTGGGAAAGATTAAAAAAAAATACAGATAAAGGAAGCAAGGGGTAAGAGGTAAGAGAGACAGCTGGGAGATTTAAGGGATGTGGCCTCTAAGCAGCTGAAAGAGAGGCCCAGGGCGAGACTGTTTGTGAGATAAGAGGCTTTGTGCATGCTGAAGAAATATGCCAAAGATGATAAGAAAAGCAGCTGTTATGAAAGTCTGAATTATGAAGATTCTCAAGATGCCCAGGACATAAAGACATTCAGCATGTGCAAAGGACAAGCTCAGTGACTCTTTGTACCAAGCAGTTTCTCTGCACACTCATCCCAGGATAGGGGACTGTGCCTGCCCCTCTCTTAGCCATTCCCAAAGTATTGTGGCTCCTGTGTCTGGCATTCTTCAAGGCATCTTAATCTCCTCTATTAATGGAGACAGTCAAGCTATAAATGGCAGATGACTTGAGCCACACACCTCGAGTACCTATATTCTGCATCTAAGTCTACTATTGTTATTATTAACATTGGCAATATTCCCTGAAAACTTATGGTTATTTCACATTCTTTGACATAGACTCACATTCAATTTTACTTATATTCAATTTTATTTTACTCTTGTTATGTTCTTACTCAATGCTATAAAGTTTATTATGATTAATCACAACACTAGTATAATATTTTCCCTACAAAAGCACAAGTGGATTGAGGTCAAGATAACTAAATGGTCATAATCCTTAGTAGTCTTACTAGACAAATGTTGCCAAAAGAAACTAAATAAAGAAAATGAGCAAAGAAATGTTATGTTCTACAGTCTTTATTAAGCATTTTAATCATGGATATAACTCGCTCTAAGGTTCTCACATTTGGCCTTGACCCCAGAACTGAAGGCACATTTATTAGGCTCTTCTTAGAATTTCTGAGACAATTCCTAGTGACAAAGAAAAAGACTGCTGAAACAATCCAGTGGGCATTAGTCTTTGGCATCAGCTAGATCTGGGTTGCTACTCACAGATCTGCCACCTTGAGCTGCAATACTGGGCAAAGTACTTCAACCTTTCTGTAAAATGAGGATGACAGCCAAGCCTGCTGTGAAGTTTGATGCATCGAGGATAATGTATTTGTGCCTGGCTCAGTAGGTAGGAGCCAAACTTAGATGTTTAAAGGAAGGGGGTGAACAATGGTAATAGTTTTCAATTTGATGTTGATTACAACCAGTATTTTTCTCTAATATAGATCTATGACATGGAATGACTGTAAAAATAAAAGCGAGTGAGAGAGAGAGAGAGAGAGAGAGAGAGAGAGAGAGAGA